TTCTCTCTCTCCCCCTCATGTACAACACCCGCCTTGCCCCGTTCACTTGTGGCCCCACTTCTCAGCTTCTTCCCCATCGCCCTCTACCTCATGGGTTACTGTGATTTGACCACAGCAATTTTTGTAAGGTCAAAAATTTAAGCCACACTTTAACTTTTCATGGTTGGAATTTGGAAAAAAAAAGTGTGGCTTATATTCGGGCTAATACGGTATATGGGACTGACTTCTAAGCAGACATGCATAGGAATGCACTGTTAGTAAATCAAACACGTATCAGTTATCTAAAGTGCAGAAACATTTCTAACACTATTAAACAATCAGACGTGACAATAAGCAGCATAACACTGACTAAAGTGCTGCAATATTTCATTATGAATGTGATGTTTTGATTCTCATCATCTTGCAGCATCTCAGTTTGTGTTGTTTTGCTTTTCAATGTCTCGGATCACTGTAATTAGCATAAATTAAATTGCCAAGTGAATTTTGAATTTTTACCTTCTGAATTTGATGAGAGCTTCAAGCTCAAATTCACAACATTCCTCAGATTCACAACATTCAAGTCCATTTCCCCCCAACAAACATTTCAATGTCAAACATTTGTACCACCCTCTAATTTAGGACTTCATAAGAAAATGTGTGAAAACAGCAGGAATGTAGATATGTTTACCATGTCCCGGAATATCATGAATGAAAGCTCTTTTGAATACACTGTATCATAAACATATCTGATCACAACATAACCTGGAAGAAGATCCTCAGGAACCGGGGGTGGCCAATGTGGTGCTCTGCAGATGTGGTTTGTCCCAGAATTGTGGCATTTTTTCAGCTAGAACTCACTGGAACTCAGTTCGGGCACCTCTCAGGTAGACACCATTTCCATTATAAGAGAACAAGGAAGGCATTCATGGTGAGTTCCAACACCTTTTTTTCTAGAAAAATAGCACAGGCCATAATCCCTTACAATTGGCCGTACTGCCCTTAGCTTGTGGGAGTTGTAACTTGATACCATCTGGAAAGTACCATGAGGGCACAAACCCAACAGAAACTCAGCTTCGTAGAATTATATAAGCTCTTCCCAATAAACTTCACAAGTGTAGTTCAAGGCACTCAGTATGGCTTTCTGCAGGTGGCATTTATTTACTTATTTGCATTTGATGGGTCTTGATGGGAGATGAAGTGTCAGCAGTGCTGGTTTTGTTGAGCCTATAAGAAAAAAGAAAACTGTTGCTCTCAGGACTTCTAATCTTCAATTATAAGTGAATGTTATAATGAAATACCTCTTATATAATTTGCTACATAATGTAGAACAGTGATAAAGGAACCTCTGTAGTCAAGACCACTGGTTTTGTGTGTGTGTGTGATGGCACTCACAGATACAGAGTACCATCAATAAGTTTTTTTAACTGCCCATGGCATCCATTTTGTGTTGGCACACTTTTATTAAAATATGAGTTCCAGCAGCTCATTTTCAGCTAATGACATTTATTGGTACACTAGAGGATGACAGTTCTTAAAGCACTACATCTCTATGTGGCCATGTCTTTGCGTATTTCATGTTCATAATGACTCATTATTGCAATAGTCTATCTAGCCACTAGCTATTGCACATGGATGACTTTGGGGTCTGGGCTATGGATGCTTGAGGAATTCTGTATATCTTTGTAGATTCCTACATGAAATGACTTCATCCACACCTCTCAGACAAATGTGCAATTTTGCCCTTAGCTAGCCACCAGACCACACTATCCCTAATGTTGAAGCACTGTTCTCAGCAATAGAAACGTATCAAAATAATGTATTTAAATGTGTGTTAATGCAAATTATTGGGAAGATAAAACAGAAAGATTTATAAACAGAGCTAGTCCAAGTATTATTTATTTATTTATTGAATCAAAGGGTAAGATGGCACCTACCTATTCCCTCTCCAAGTACAGAAGTTGACCAGGTAGAATCTTTCTTCACCAGGACAGTGTCCGCTGTACCTGAGGACAGCAGGATAGCTTAGAGGGCACAGGGCAGGCCCCCTTGAGCACATGGCTCTGCCCACTCCCTGCCCCATAGCAATTGCTACAGGAGGTGGCTGCCTCATTCTGTCTCATGGGAGGGCCAGTCTTGGTAAAAACATCCAGAAATGGCAAGTTCACCCTTCTCTGTTGGTGCCACCCCTGAATCCCACCAGGAATGGTCATTTCTCCTATCCCATTACCTATTGGTATGCTTTATGGCCAGTGCTATTGTTTGGGTGCGCAAAACCAGAGGGAATGGAAAGTCTGTACATGTTCATTTATGGGTGCTTCCTCTCCCTTATCTGTCTGGAAGCTCCTTAGTCTTATTCCAAATCAGAAGTCAGATTCTAAAGCCAGAGCATTGTATCTTAATGCTATTGTTCTGCTTGCGTAACAGTCGCAATGAACTTGTGCAATGAACTTTAGCCTCCTCTCTGCTTCTCTGCAGGCCCCCTGCAACCTCAAAATATGCTCCAGGGAGTTGGGGGAGCAGATTTTGTGGGTGCTTGGGGAGAAGAGGGGATGGGGAAGTCCTGTTGTCTGAGCTTTACTCTGTTCATGCAGCCTTGGATATAACCCATAGGCTCTGCTCTAAAACTGTTAGTGTCAGAATGTACTCCTAGCGCATGCGAAGCAATACCTAAGGGTAATGCTTTTAAGCAGATATTGCTGTCTTATCATCTTCATTACCATCAAGTAACCAAAGCCTTCTCCTACCCATCAGTGAGCAGGTGACAGCACTTCCTGGTGAGAGTATGTGGCTTTCACAAAGCCTTCAGCTCTAGGACGGAAGGGACTTTAACATTCGTACAGGAAGGCAAAAGTTATTTCACTTTCACCTTGGCTGAAGCCTTAGTCCATTTGCAGAAGGCTTGTTCCAGCCTCTTTGGGCTTATCAGCAGATCAGAAAAAAGTCAGTGCACTCCTACACCATTAATTTTCAAAGTCATGTCTGCCAGGCTGGGATAAGAAGGGAATATTTGGGTCTCCTTGGACTTTGTTCTCAGGGCAGGCAAGCACTAATTGACTTCTGAACAATTTGTCGAAGAAATCTGATGAATCAAGGACCTCAGAATGCAGCCTCAAAGCCCTGGCTGGATTCTGTAAGCAGAAGTGTGTGAATTTTTAGGAGCACATTTTGGATGAACATCTCCATACTTTAGGGGCTGTATATAACCTTTGGATATTTGCCCAACCTTAATTACAGCTTAATTTACCCATCCATCACTAGGACTGTCAAGTAGACAGGTGTTTTAAGCAGCTGGATTGGCAACCTTTCCCAACATGTAAAACATCCAATTGCCTAGAAATTCAGCTGGTGTTTTTTAATAAAAATAAAAAATAGCTCTTGTTGATTTCACCTACATAAGTAATGTGAGTGATGGGCTACTTCCATAATTTTGATTTTATTAGTATGTCCCAATTACAGTTCTAGGGCTTTGTGAACATACTCCTGAAAAACCTGTTTGGAATTTGTTCTGCTGCATTTGACAAGTCCAGAATACACAAAAGCTAATAACTCGCCAGGATTCGACATCTACCTTATTTGTAAATAAATATGCTCCCTTTCACCCTTTCCTGCATGCACTGGGAAATGCTGGGGGGTCTCTAGCCACTAAGGGAACAATAATGTTTTGCTTTCATTTAGCAAGATCCATTAGGTAGGAGATGAAGTGCTGGGTGGCAATGACAAGACAGAAGCCAGACGACTGTCAAACTGCTCCCGCTTTCTTCAATTATTTTGAGATTTTCCCCATTCGAAGCACATTGAACAAATCACAGAGGTGATTATGCAGTCAAAATGGGGACATTTTGTGTGGTCTGATGATACATGGCTTGGTATTATTAATGCCACGTGTTAAGATGCTTTAGCAGACAAGAAATTACAAGGTCAGCTATCTGGAAGGAGGCGCTACAGTGAAGGATTTTTTTTCTTTTTTACAAAAAGAATGAAAAGGAAGGCCAAAGAAATAAAAACAATAACACTTGATGATGACCTATCTGTACTATGCAATCAAATCCCACAAGTCAAAAAAGCACAAGAGGGAGCAATATAGTTTATAATACTGCAACTACTGAATGTGAGATTGGACAGCCTGTGTGAAAAGAAACAAGCAAGAAAAAATAAATTATACATCCCCACCCCTCACACAACACACATGTACAATGCATACTATTTCTTACATTCATTTTTTTTTTTATTTTTAAATCATATTTATTAAAGTTTCCAGAAATATAAAAATACAAAGAAAAAAGACAAAAGAAAGAAAATATTTAAAAATCTTACTTTCATTCCCTACTTTCTGGGACTCCCCCCTCCCCCCCCCCCAATTGTATTCCCCTTTCCTTAATTTGGTTCTACAAGCTCTCACTCCCAATTTAAAGCTTAATTTGTTTAACCCACTATCCAGATTGAATTGTACAAATCTTACCACCGTCCCACATCATTAACAGAAAAAAAAAAAGATTTTCCCCAAGATCCACCCCAGTTCCTTCCACAAATTCCCTTTTTTTAAACACGTCCGATCAAAGTAAAATAACATGCGTAAGTTATGTAAAAAAATAGAAAATAAGAGATATAGAAAAATTCAAAAATGGTTACACAGCCTTTGGATTTCAAATCTCCCCCTTCCCCGGTTTGAATTCCCCATGTCCATCAGTCTATACATTATCAGCTTGGAAGTCTCATTTCATGACCAGATTTCTCCCCAGTTCCATCTTGCCGGTTTTCTTTAGTTTATTAATTTAAATAATATTTGACTTCAAATGTCCAATCTAACAAAGGCCTTTAATTTCCTTGATCTTTACCACTCCTCCCGTTGTTCTTTCCGTGTCGTAATCAGTCCTTTATTCTTCTTATTCCTCACTTTCTCAGGTTTCTTGTCCTGTTCAGCTGCTAAAACTTTCTAATTCAGAAATCTAGTGTCTCTGCAGAGGTTTGTTATTCAGGAACAAAAACTTACGTCCAGTCCCTTTCTTTCTTCAATAAAAATTCCATTGTCTTCCTCTGTAGACAAAATACTCTTTCAGTTTTGCAGCTTTCCCAGAAGATAACAAATCCTGTGCGAATCCCAGGGTATTTTTCCACTTACGACCGTTCTTGTAGTATCCCGAAACCCCTCTAGGGGGATTGTAATAACTTTGTATCCTCTAATCCAAAAGTCAAATTGTTGCTTATTTTCCAACAGTTTGTATCCATATTATAGCAAATTGTAACAAAATTAACCAGCAAGGTCCTCATAACAAAGTCCTCTTTATATTCTCCAGCTTTGACAGCCACTTTGACAGCTGTCAAAGTCTCCGTCTCTCTTCACCAGGCTCCACGAATCGCCCCGGTTCCCAGGGGGGGGGTTGCATTTTTCTTCTCACCCTCCACTCTTCTCCTCCAGCACATTTCTTATAATTTCCCATCGTGAAATTAATGATTTTTATCAGAAACATACTTCCCTTTGGACCTTGGTTACCCAGTCCTTGTTTTGGAATGCTTACAATAGGGGGGGGGATTGACTTCCTTTTTAATCGCCCCCGCTCGTGCCAAATCCAAAATTTTGAACCCGGTTTCCCAATTTACTCACGGGTTGTTGTTAATAGTCCAAATTTTCAATAGAAGAAGTCAGCGCTCTCCGTCGAATGGCATGCGGCTGCGCTCGGCAGGGAAAGCAGTGGACTCAAAGCACCACGCCACTCCCGGCACCCGATCCGAAGCCTTTAAAAAGGCTCCTTCACGAGTCGGGAGGGCGCTAATGGTGCAAGCCGAGTCACCCATGTCCACGGACTCCGTGCCCGTGGTTTTTAAGGGTCCCCGCGTCGCCGGCGCGGTAGGACCCAGCCCCTGCCGAGCAGACTCCCTCCGGAGCTCGGAGGGAGTCCGCCATTCGGCGATGGCGCTAACCCGGAAGTGACTATTTCTTACATTCAAACACTGAGGATGGAAAGTTAAAGACCACAGGTTTGGAATTAAGGGGAGGGTTTGAGGTAGAGTTGGGGATGATTTTTTAAACAAATTTATCTCTTAGTTCATCTGCTTAGGAAGGATCACAATGCTCCTCATCGAAGGAGTGTACATTGACCACTCCATGTGGGGCTTTCTATTTTAATCCCCAGCTCAGTTTAAACCGTGTACATGGTAAAGAGTTTGGATTTGGATTTGATATCCCGCCTTTCACTCCCCTTCAGGAGTCTCAAAGCGGCTAACATTCTCCTTTCCCTTCCTCCCCCACAACAAACACTCTGTGAGGTGAGTGGGTCTGAGAGACTTCAAAGAAGTGTGACTGGCCCAAGGTCACCCAGCAGCTGCATGTGGAGGAGCGGAGACGCGAACCCGGTTCCCCAGATTACGAGACTACCGCTCTTAACCACTACACCACACTGGCTCAAAGATGTCACAAAATTGTTCACTCAGAGCACAAATGGTAATTAGGCACAAGTATGGCACATCTTACTAATGCATAGGTAAAGGGTAAAGGGACCTCTGACCATTAGGTCCAGTTGTGACTGACTCTGGGGTTGCGGCGCTCATCTCGCTTTACTGGCCGAGGGAGCTGGCGTACAGCTTCCGGGTCATGTGGCCAGCATGACTAAGCCACTTCTGGTGAACCAGAGCAGCGCACAGAAATGCCGTTTACCTTCCTGCTGGAGCTGTACCTATTTCTCTACTTGCACTGGTGTGCTTTCGAACTGCTAGGTTGACGGGAGCTGGGACCAAGCAATGGGAGCTCACCCCATTGTGGGGATTCAAACCGCCAACCTTTCGATCGGCAAGCCCTAGACTCTGTGGTTTAGACCACAGCGCCAGTCTGTGTAGTTAATGATGGATGATCCAGGTAGCCAGCTTGCCATGTGAACATATATATTCTTGGCCACCCACACACAAAGTACTCTTGCTCATATCAAGAATCCTTGTTGCTTTTATTTCTGCAATTATGCCCTTTACATTTGTTTTAAGGGAGTTGTGGGGCTGAATCCAATGGCCAGGATCATGCACATTCACCTTAGCTGCATAACCCAGCTCCCCCACTTTAGGGTTTCAGGCATTATAATTCAAAAATACATAGTTTGGAAGTAGTTGTCAATATAATAAACCAAATACTATTTGCTTACATGGAACCTGAATGGAACCATGCTTAAAATAAAGTGAAATGTGACAGAGAAGCTTTTAAAATGATCACTGGGGAGAAGTCTACAGGAACTGAAAAGGGTCCAGTGTGAGATGGAACATCCCTAAGGGATGACAGTGAAATTCTTCATGAATGCCCAAATGGCAGTAGTCGGCTAGATCCAGTGCTTTCCCCCCCTAAAAAAATGTTTAGGGATACTCTCATTTTCCTACTCATATTTAAATACTGCCCCTCAATGAGGCCAAATTTAAATTCATTTTAATTCATTCACAAATTGTTTAGGGGTACAGTGGTGCCTCGCAAGACGAAATTAATCCGTTCCGCGAGTATCTTCGTCTAGCGGTTTTTTCGTCTTGCGAAGCAACCCTATTAGCGGCTTAGCGGATTAGCGCTATTAGCGGTTTAGCGGCTATTAAAGGCTTAGCGGCTTAGCGGCTTAGCTGCTAAAAGGCTATTAAAGGCTTAGCGGCTTAGAAAAAGGGGGGGAGCGAAAAAAAATCTCAAGACTCGCAAGACATTTTCGTCTTGCGAAGCAAGCCCATAGGGAAATTCGTCCTGAGAAGCGCATTGAAAACGGAAAACCCTTTCGTCTAGCGGGTTTTCCGTCTTGCGAGGCATTCGTCTTGCGGGGCACCACTGTATGTGTACCCCTATGTAACCCCAGAAAAAAGCACCAGCAAGATCAACCAATGAAAACGAAGGGGGATATGCTTGCCATTCAAAGAGGCCAAAGTCTAGGGGAAAACACACATGGAAGAGACAACTGGAAAGAGGCCAGATACAGCTGTTGCATGCTATTGCCAGAAGCCTCCAAACCAAGATGTGTGAGCTAGAGTGATCTGTTTTAAAAGAAATACATAAATATAGTGGGCATTACAGAAACCGGTGGCGATATGACCCATAGATTGCAGCAAAATACTGGGTAAGATTTTGCCCAGTATCTTCTCTGTGTGGTGGGAAAAAGCTGTCCCATGAGCCCTTGCTGAAGAGGGGTCATGGGACAGCCTGTTTAAGGCTGCTTTCCCTGGATCTCATAACCATTTTGCTTTGAGAGCTTTCTGCCCACCCTTGGGTCAGAGCCTTCACTGAGCAATTTTGTGTCACTGGTTGACAGGGCCAGAAAGGATTTCCCCCCTCTCAACCTGACTGGCACTTGGTTGGGGTCCCCCCCCCTTTCCCTCAGTGAAATTATGGCTTTCCTTTGTTTGGCTGAAGAACATTGTTTGTATTAGGGCAGAAATGGCATTGGTCAGGACCAACATGATATGGGGGGTACCCATAAGGGGGCTGAGGGGAGACCACAGCAAACCCAAGCTGTGGTTTGATATCTGCCTGGTTGGAATCTGAACCCTGGTCCCCCAGTGAGACCTTGCTTGCTTGGCTTGCAGCATGGCAAGGTTCAACACTGGCCAACTCCCGTCATACAGGTTTGGTCCCATCCAAACCCAGCAGATCCATTCCATCAACATGGGGCTTGTGGAATGATGAACTGATCCTGGGACCCAATGCCATGCCAACCCTTGCCCCGCCTGCTGGTGTCAATAAAGATTTGGCCTGATTTTATCCCATCACCATTGTACAGTCTGGTTATTTTGCTGCTCTCATGGGTCACATAATGCGCTTGCCAGATATGCAGCATTCTGTTCCTATGAACAGATGCTCTTAAAGATGATCACCATCCCACACCAATTACTGCCATTTCCCATTGAGAAATATAGTGTCTAGTTTCTCCTCCTGGGGCAGGTCCACTCACACTCTACAGAATGATATATGTGACAGACATAGATAAATGGGAGGAGAAGAAACAACTGCCTTATGCAGACCAACTGTCCACCTGTCACAGTATTGTTTACTCTGGCTGACGGCAATAATCCAGGTTTTCATGTCGCAATTCTTCCTAGCCTTGTTCACACAATGTCCCACAGTTAGATCAGGGCAGGCATTTTACACAGCAGGTTAAGACAAATATGCACACTTGCACACGCATGGTAGGTTGGTCTCAATTTTTCATGCGAAATCCCATTTTGTGTGTCTTTTTTTTAAAAGAAACTGAAATATACAAATATTTTAATAAATAAAATTAAGTAATGCAAATTGTGGCAAACTTTCCACATATACTGGCACACTAAAATGATTGTAATAATTCCATAATCTTGCCCCAACTGTAGAACTTCCTCCCTTAGGATGTTTGGCAACCTTTTGAGGCTAGGGCTTCAGCCAAATCTGGTGCATAGGCCTAGTTTTAAGGATAGTTGGAATTTTTTATTATTATTATTTTGCTTTGCTGGTGATCATTCAATGCAAGTTTAAGGAACTTTTATTCATTCAGACTTTGGGGAGATATTTGAAAGTATGTATCCCATCACCTCCTGGCAAATAGAAGGGGAAGAAATGGAGGCAGTGAGAGATTTTACTTTCTTGGGCTCCATGATCACTGCAGATGGTGACAGCAGTCACGAAATTGAAAGACGCCTGCTCCTTTGAGAAAGGCAATGGCAAACCTAGATAGCATCTTAAAAAGCAGAGACATCACCTTGCCAACAAAGGTCCGTATAGTTAAAGCCATGGTTTTCCCAGTAGTGATGAATGGAAGTGAGAGCTGGACCATAAAGAAGGCTGATCGCCGAAGAATTGATGCTTTTGAATTATGGTGCTGGAGGAGACTCTTGAGAGTCCCATGGACTGCAAGAAGATCAAACGCATCCATTCTGAAGGAAATCAGCCCTGAGTGGTCACTGGAAGGACAGATCATGAAGCTGAGGCTCCAATACTTTGGCCACCTCATGAGAAGAGAAGACTCCCTGGAAAAGACGCTGATACTGGGAAAGATGGAGGGCACAAGGAGAAGGGGACGACAGAGGACGAGATGGTTGGACAGTGTTCTCGAAGCTACCAGCATGAGTCTGACCAAACTGCGGGAGGCAGTGGAAGACAGGAGTGCTTGGCGTGCTCTGGTCCATGGGGTCATGAAGAGTCGGACACGACTAAACGACTAAACAACAACAAATCATATATGGATATTGGAGTTTGTGGATTAATGGCATTTTTGGCCATATATAGAGGATTTCGCCTTGTGGGGCACTGCTTTGTTTTTCTGTGGGGAAGGCACTTGCAAAGCAGACCCCTGCAGCACAGCTGCTTCTTTCTATCTGTGTCCCAAGCTTCCTTCCCATGAAATGCCTGCCTCACCTTTACACCTAAATCCCTGCCCCTCCTGATCACCGTGGATCTCTTTGGGTGGTTAGACCCAACCCTGGGACATGTGGGGATTTCTCAACCCTGAATCGGCCTGATTTGGTTTGGGATTCAGCATTCAGTTGAAACTGGTGTGTATCCCTGGGTTTATAACTTTTATTGTTGCGTGTTATTGGGTACTGCATTTCATAGGATTGTAAAATACAGTGGAGTCTTGATACATAAAGAGCAGCATACCAATAAAACTAATAAATAAATGCATGTTGCAGCATCCTTCTCATTCTGCAATCTCCTACAGATGAGAGCAGCTAATTTATGAGTGCTTTCAGAGCCCTCAGACCTCATCTTTCTTTTAGAAAGGTATTGGTGAGCACTGGCTCCAACTAGAGGCGTGTTGAGACTCGTCTCATTACTGAGTTATTCCCGGGTTACTGGGCAAAATTCCTTCTCTTTTCCTTTTGTTCCTGGAAGAAGCCTACCTCCGTGGCTCATCTCTGGTTTTAACCCAGAAAGGGTTTCTCTGTGGCTTAACTTCTGCATCTCCTGCACTAAGGCAATGCTTTACTTCCTTCTTTCCAAATATACACC